GGAAGATGCTGCTTTGTGATTCGAAGGCTGCTACCTCGGCTACAGAGCTTTGGCCAACAGGGCCTCGTCCACCTTCAAAGGGTCTCGGCATATGGGTTTCGGAAGCTTCTCAAGAGGCAATGATAGATGGGCCTCAGTATATATGGGCCTAGGCTTCTGTGGACCTCTATTTGTGGGCCTCGGCTATGCAAATCACCTCGATTTAAGTGCAACGTGGTTCGGCATGAGTTGGCCGTGGGCCCCGGTGGGTTGCCCAAGTGTGCAAACACGTAACAATCGCAATAAATTGAAAATCATCAATAAAATATATAAGACTCAACCAAAAAAAAAAAAGTAAAAGAAACATCATCACCATTCACCGTTCTCTTGTTTGGTAGGGATTACAAAAATACTTTTAATCTAGGTCAAATTCAACATTTAATTTTAATCCACAATTTCTCAACTACATAATTTATCGAATTTTATCTGCCTACCCATCATTGAAACACAAGCTAGAGACGTATCAGCCTATATTCCCACCAATGTAATCTCCATTACTGATGGAAAATTCTGTTTGGAAACAGAGCTCTTTTATTACGGAATTAGACCTGCTATTAATGTCTATTTATTTGTCAGTCGCGTCTCGTCTACCGCTGAGTTGAAACTTGAAAGTATGAAACAGTATGCGATAGTTTAAAATTGGAATTGACACAAGATCTAGAAAATAACTAGTTAAATCAATCAATTACCACTAAACTTTCACTAGATTTCTACTTATTCATTTAACTTTGAGTGCGTTTGACTGACATGAAAAATATCACATGGAAAATAAAATGTTTTCTTTATTTTGAGGAAAACAAAAACATGCTCCTCCCAAAAAAAATATTTCCCTTAATTCAAGGAAAATTATATATATTTTCTAAAGTTGAGAAATATTTTCAATGGGAAAATATAGCAATCTGTTCTCATAAAATCCGCAAGCGTACGAAATCGTTGAGGAGTTATAATAAAGTGAGTTGTGAGTTATCGTCCTAAGAGAAATAATATTTAATTCTAATTTACTAGTTACTACTAAATTCGATATTTGTGACACAAAAGACATGATGTTGTTGTTATTTAAACTAATTTAAACTAAGAAAGTAATAAAAAATATTTTGTCAAATACGTGAATGATTTTATTCGATTTTGAATTCCACTATTTCCATTTATTTTAATTTCTTGATTCGTAATATAATCAATTCCATGCTTTCATGATAATTGATAACACTAGTGTACTTAATTCTCTTTTTTAAGACAAATTAAATCTATTCTAATCACGACCAAATCTTATTCCTAGTCCGAATTCATATGACCAAAATACATTAAATTATAGATTATCTATGTGATTGCATATATGATAAATATTATTCTTAATTTTATCTACATGTTAATTTTGTTGCTTTCTAAACTTATTGTGAGTCTTTCAACACTATAATAATCAATTAATTATTCAATTGATGACCAATCATTTAAATAATGCAACGAGTATGCAAAATCAATTAAGAAAATCAAGAAATAACTAAATTAATAATCTTAAATCAAAATAAATACGCAATAGGGTTCATCATTCATCCAATATAATAGAAAAACTAGCCTAGCATTCCAATTATTAAATTATACAAAGAATATTGGAAAAATATCACCAAGAAAGAAGAAATAATGAAGAATGTGGAGAAATCCAATTTCTTGACTTGAATCTTCAAAATGGATGAATATTCTTCAATAAACTTTTATCCGCCTTCATCTTGATGCTTAGCCTCATTTTTCACCTCCAAAAGATGTAGAATAAAGAGATTTTTAGGTCTAAGGGATGTCTTCTACGTTTTGGATGGCTTATGGTATCAATAGGGTACCAAAAGATTACATATCAAAAGTTTCCAAAACAAAATGAGGAAACAAATTTTTTTCCCGAAATTAATGCATACGCACAATTCATTTGATACGTACACATGGTACACGTGATTTGATCTCTAGAGTGAATTTTTGTGACCTTGCTTAAGCACAGCTAGCAGGTTATGCTTAAGCATAGTACAAATTTCTGCCAAACTTTCTCACGCGTGTATTTTGATTATTTTCAATAAATTCTCGTCCCATTTACTCATCTTCAACTCTATTTGACCCTCGGCATTCTTGAATCATTGTTTTGCAATCCGACTTAACTTTTAAAGTATTGCATTTTAGTCCCAAACTTTGTATTTTGTTCGATCGAGCCATTTTCTCTTGTAATCTTGTTCATTTATCTTCCAAATATATTCAATTAAATTATTGGCATCTTCAATCTTCATTTTGTTGACTATCTCATCTTTGAATTGTTTGTAACTTAGTCATAAGTTTTTGGATTTCACATTTTTTTTTTGGTGCTCATCAAAAGCAATTTTCCCTGAATTATGTACTTGAAATAAGAAATATGAGAATTACGTGTTCACATTGTTAAGCATATTGCATGCGCGGTACGATTTGATAGGGTGATGCTACACGCACATCAGAGTGTCTATAACGGTATCCATCTCAGTTACATGAAAGGGGATCCGCTTAGAATAAAATATAATTTATCTGAAGTGGACACTCTTCATGGGAGGAGGTGAACACCGTTATGAATACTGCATTATGTACAAACATCATATTCCGATTTGATATATCATGTAATGTGACCTGTATATTGTATTAAAATTTTGATAAAAGAGTTGTTAAGTTATAAGTGAGTTAATATTCTTTACTGACTCATGTGCATCTTATTATTAAGTTGGGAACACTTTGTAGTTGTTTCTTAATCTACTTATTGATCTCTTCTCACTTTTTAAACCTGATTGTAGAATCGTAAACCTTATAAACTCTTTCATGGTTGTTCTTCCAGGATGGAAAGAAAATAATCTAATTAAAGAGTAAGACTAAACCTTTTGCGATGAAGCACCACTAAACTTTCCAATTGGACAGACGTGAAAAATCGAAGAATAATGGTGGTCTAGTTCATTCTAGAGTTGCACAAAAAAATCGCGAAACTGTAAACTAAACTGAAATCGTTGGTTCAGGTCCACCTAGACCCGTGATTTTTTCCCTCAAACCGAACCAAATCATTTCAAAATGGATTGGTTTAGGTTTCGATTTTCAAAAATCACAAATCAAACCGATCCCTTTTTAAATTTTTTAATTAAAACATTAATTTTACTACTTTGTAAATGTTACAGTTTTAAAAAAAATACCAATTTATAATTACAAATTAAAACTAGCCTATTGAAATAATCATATACAATAAATTAAGTTCATCTTTATTGGCCCATTATTTTACAAGTCCACAACACATGTCCTGACCTAATATCTAAACTAAACTAAAATTATTTCCAAATCTTATGAAATGAAATTTTTTTTCGACAATCCAAATCATAAATCAACAAAACTACGACAATAAATCAACGTCCAAAATTACAGAAGCCCTAACATAAACTATCATTTTTTCAAAAATTTGACGTTTGTCTGCCACTGTTGTACGAAATGCAATTGTCAATCACAAATTGCTAGTCGCTGTTTGCCTATTAGTTTGCTAATTTCTACATGAATCACTTCTTTCTCTCTTCTCTCGGTACGTCTCAGATTCTCATTGAAACCATTTTTTCTATTATTCTTTCTTTTATTTGTTGCTTTTAAACTTAATATACACTTTTCAAAGTGGTTTGAATAGAAAAATTATTGTTTGTGTGCTTAGATGATTAATGAATTTGTTAGTAGTTTGAAAAGAACGAAGGACAAAAAGTATCGATTGTATGAAAATGTTAAAATTTCCTAATTAGTACCAATGCCTTCTACTTTCACAAAGTAGTTATAAAATGAAATTTGTCAATTTCTAATAAGTTTGTACTTTATCAATCTTTGTACATCTAAACGTATCACGTTTAATCCTTATTTATCATCTCACTAGTAAGATGAAAGGAATTTTAACCAAACTATAATAGCAAAATATGACTTTACCTTTACCAACCGCTTTGTGACAATAAGAAGTGCAAACAAGTAAAAATAAATAAAAAAGAAGAAAGACATTTTCGTTTTGTTAACATCTTTTGGCAACCAATTTTGAAAATATTTTATTCATAGGTTTCATAATAAACATGAATGTAATTTAATGTTTAACATTATTAGTTCTTATTTAAACTTATATGTTAACTTATTTTTATATATATTACTATAATGTCGATAGGTAAACCGCGAATTAAAACCAAATCAAATCGCAAATTATGGTTTGATTTGAAAAATAATATGATTGGATATTCCATTGAGATGCCATTGTTATGTTCTTTCTAAGCTACAGAACCACTATTGTCATTGATATTTTATTCATAGGTTTCATAATAAACATGAATGTAATTTAATGTTTAACATTATTAGTTCTTATTTAAACTTATATGTTAAGTTATTTTTATATATATTACTATAATGTCAATAGGTAAACCACGAATTAAAACCAAATCAAATCGCAAATTATGGTTTGATTCGGTTTGATTCGAAAAATAAAATGATTGGATATTCCATTGAGATGCCATTGTTATGTTCTTTCTGAGGATGTAGTCAGAATGCTAACTTTCCAAGGGGATTTCGCTCTCCTGTGTCTCATGTCGATCCATTATTCTTAAAATAAGTCATGGTTTCTACTGAAAGTGAACTTTAGATAAATTTGCCCCTTCTCTAGAACTTATGTAGTTTAAACACATAGATGAAGCAATTTAATGTGGTATGAAGTGAGTTGAAATTTTTTTGAATCTCTTACTAATTTTATACTTTGGTTAACAAATATGTAAAACTACTAGCTAAAAAAATGGCAATCTAATAAAAGAATAATATATTATCATGGTGACAAATTTGAGAATATTGAGACATCTGTATGCCAAATATTCTTTCAAATGGAAAAGCGCAAGCTAATGATCGCTGGAATAATCCAAAATTACATTGCAAAATTGTACTCCATACAAAATGTATAATCATAAACACTGATCTAAATAAATGGCTCTGATACATTAAAATGATTGGATAGCTAGACAAATTGAAATTGTTTATTCATATCTGCAATATCCATGCGTCACAAATAAGCCACGTGATGATTCACCAACAGAGAATTATGAGTTCTCACATACTTAAAACACCTGCCTTCGCAATTGGTAAAAGAAAGGGAAAAAAAATAAAAAATATAAAGCAAAATCCTTTGTGATTACAAATCATCGACTGAGAAAATATTATATAAATGTCACTTGGCAACTGCATCATGGCTGTTACCTTCGGTTCCAGAGTCTGGAAGAGTTCCCAGGTCGATGCGAGCTTCTTTCTCTTCTTGAGGAAGTGAAGAACTGGAGGAATCTTTTCCACCATGCGCAGCAGGATCAGCATTTCCATTTGAGCTTGGAGATGCCTCATTTGATGAGCCTGAAGTATTTGAAGAATCTTCAGCTGTATTTTGACCTGAATTTGTACCATTACTACCATTATCATTATCAACCCTCCGTTGTTCGCCTGAGTTATTATTACCCTCACCCCCAGATAATGTTTCAGAGTTATTCTCTGTGCCTTTAGCTGTCTTCGTATCTCCATTTAGTCCATCAGATACAAGAAGTTGTGTGTTGTCAGAAGAACCTTTTGAATTTCCATTCACCAAGCTCACTTTCTCAGTTGTTGTGGTTTGAGTTGAATCTGAATCTGATTTCTCATTCTCAGTATCACTTTTCTCAGTTTGCTCATTCAGAACAGTCTGTGATCCATCTTCATGATGAACAATGTTCTCGGGTGTTTTACTTTCTTTTGGAATGGAATCAGAGGTAGAGTTATCATTAACTTGACCTTGTTCCTTAACTTCAGATGTTCCTGCTGAAGAATTAGGGTTATGCCCCGACTCTACGTGTTCATCACTCGTGCCTTCAGTGGCCACCACATTAGAAGAATTACTGTTCTCAGTTTTCCCAGTATCTTGGTCATTTGATCCCACTTCATTCTCATTTCCATTGATTGCCTCAAAATTATTATTCTTATTTTCCTGTAACTCATTTTGTTTTGTGTTTTCGGATTTCTCCTCCCCATTCAAATTAACATTACTAACATTCTCAGTTTTGGTTACATTTTGAGAAATCTGAACCTTATTGCCAGAGACAATTCCTCCCTTTTTATTCTCCTCTTTCACCTCATTAGTCTTGTCGGTTCTGTCATGAGTCTCACCCTCAGAGGAACCTAATTTTTCAGTTCCACCTTCTTTTAGCTCCTCCGCTTTGTTGTTTCCTTCCATGTCTTTACTATCTTGTCCATTGTCCCCTCCATTTCTCTCTTCCGTTCCTTTATCCTCAATTTTATTCTTCTCGTCTTGTGTAACTCCCTTATCTTCAGTCCCGTTCTGTGTTTCTTCGCTTGCTTTCTCCTCCTTTCTCTTGTTTGCTTCCTCCATTTCTTCATTTCTCTTCTCTTTGCTCTCCCTCTCTTCCTTTATCTCTTCATTTTCTATCGTTCCACTACTCTCTTCTTTAACATCGGTTTCTGCATTGTCTTTTGCCTGATATCCCTTTTCATCATTATTCACCTCTTCATTTTCATTATTCTTGCCCTTCTCTTCTTTCGTATCCTGTTCACCATTCTCCTTCTCTCCATCTTCTTTGCCTTCTTTTTCTTCACTTCTCTCTTCAACTTGTTCTTCACTGCTGCTTTCACTTTCTTCTTCTTTAGTGTCCTTCGCTTCAGTGTCTTTCCTGTTGCCATCTTCAGCCTCTTTATTTTCCTTCTCCCCATCCAAATCTTCGTTTTCTTGTTTGGTTTCCTCCTCTGGCTTCCTTTCTCCATCCATAGAAGTCTCTCTATTCTCACCTTCCTCTTCTATTTTTTCTCGGTCTTGCCCTTGATCATCTGGCTTGTTTTCATCATCCAAGTGTGTCCTTTCCTCTTGTTGCTCTTCTTTCTGCTTCTCGTCTTCAGTATCCGTTTCTTCATTCCGGGGCCGGAGATCCTTCCTCCCTAACTTGATAATATCGTTCCCATCCTTTACCTTCTCGGAAATTCTTGTCGTTTCTTCGTATGATGCCTTCTTACTACGGGAGTGCTGCACTTGGTAAAGCAGCCAGACGCAAACTCCAATTACTACACATAATTGGAGAACATGCTTCACCTTATATCCTTTGTTTCTCTGGTTCCTACGTGGTGATTGCTTAAACATGATGGTTTTCCTTAAATCTTATCTCGTATACGAGGTTGATTTTGGAAGCTCGAAATTTCAAATATTTCAACTTCTATAATGATAGAAATAAAAAAGGTCAACAACAATTCTGGATGTGAAATTCAAATTTCATAAGTAATAGAGTAAATATACATCTCATTTTTCTCGGAAAAATTTGCCTAAGAAGAACAAGACTAATTGGAAATACAGTTGTCACTATACTGTAAAGTTACCCGTGATCTTAAAATTAGTTAAGGGAATAAACTCAGATGAAAATCAGCCTCAGTAAAAACGGAGGGGAAAAAAACAAAAACGGGAAGGGAAAAATGACTTCAATCTTGGATCAAAGTGAAAAACAAAACTTGCAGTCTCAATGCCAACTTGCCAAGCGACAAATCTTGCCGAGGTGAACTAATTTTTAGGTAATTACAAGAAAAGGATAAAGAATGCCAAAGACTGTTGATGTTATCATAGCCACATTTCCTAGCTAATTCAACAGTTAAGTATATGATTCAACGTGCATTTCCAAGAAAATACTACTAAATTTGCCATTGTAATTAAATTATTAACTCAATTACAACAAACCCCACTTCAATTTGACAAAGAAAACTTCCAAACAAGAACCAGATCATAAGTTCTTACCAGTTCCAAATCCCATCGACCCATTAATGATTAAAATGAAAAAGGTAATGATTAATGCCTAAAAACAGAGGATACCATAAAAAACCAAAGCAGATCTGCTCTTCTTTTACCCTATATTGCACAATTAAGGCACACACATGAATTCTTGGCAATGCTAAAAGGATATTCGTAAAGTCTAGAAATAAAAATGCATACCTTATTCCCGGGTAGATCTCTCCCAGTTAAATTGATACAAAAGTAGGCCCTTTATAATAAAAATCTTGACTTATGATTAGTTTCCAAGAAAAGGTGAACACCTATAACTTTCAATGCAGTTTGCTTAAATACAGTAAGCAATTGGCAAGTTCTTGAAACGAAAAGATATGGACGGGTGGGTGTGAAGTAGATTGTCCAAAGGTTAAACGAAACTTTCAAAATGGGGTAAGAAAATGCTTCTTTAATCTTCTGATAGATCTGAGATCTTTATCATATATGGAGGTGTAAAATGTATGTATAGTGCATATACACGTCAGATTTTCAACCATTTCTTGCCATGTCAATGCTGCCGGTGTTTTTATCTATGATTAATTACATTTTGAACGCCATTATTGGAGAAGTCTCCATAGATCTGTATTTTATATATATATAAAATACTATTCTGAAAATTAAAATCTCTAATAATGGGATATATATATATATATATATATAATTTTTTTTTTGAAGAATGAGTGGTTGAAAAAAATGAGGAATAATTTTTTATTTACATGTAATATTATTTTATTGAAATGTGTGATTGAAAAAATTTTTTAAAAAAATGTATTGGGGCCAAACAAGGGATGTCCTTAAAATATAAAATAAATCTCCTTGTTTGAGCCCCATTTTTGGGTCAAAATATATTTTGAAATAGTGTTTGTGATAGATTGTGTAGTTAAAAAATAAGAAAAAATTTTAAATTTACATGTAAAATTATTTTATGAAACAACGTGTGCTTGAAAATGAGTTTTTAAAAAAAACTAAAAATAGAGAGTTTGGATCAAACATAAGAGTGACTCTTTAAGATTGAAATTTACTTCATTTTAAAAAGTTAAATTTTGAAGATTTTATTTTAATTTTTTAAAATAAAGAGTGAGTTTGACTTTTTACATTTTCAAATATTCACATTTCTATCTGTATTTTATCATAATTGCAGTAGCCCCTCTTTGACCCCCATTTTGGAGAGAGACAATGTATTTTGAAATAATGATTTTTTTGTAGAATGTGCATTTAAAAAAATAGGGAAATTTTTAAAATTTAAGTATAAAATTATTTATGGAAGAATGGTTAGGCTAAAAATGAATTCTAAAAAATGAGTTTTGAGAAAAATAAGGTTGAGCAATGCTATTTAGCCTTAAAGAGGTTATAATTTAATCTATCACCTAATGTCAAATAGATTCGGGTTATAATCCAGTAGGGTTAAATAGTATTACTCTCAAATTTTATTCTTATATTTAGCTATATGCTCAATATACCTTTATTTAATTTTAATTTTGTTAATAATTAATTAATAATATTGATTCAATTTATTCAATATGAAAGTAAAAAAATCTTTTTCTTTTCCATTTGTCAATAATTCCCTCATTCAAAATTTTAATCTTGCATTATTTTTTATTAATGGCGTTAATTCAATTTATTCAACAAGAAATTGAAAAATGGGTGTTGTTTAAGGAACTCAAAGAATTGCCTTAAATTTTCCTTTTGAGAATATTAAAATCCATTTCCCTTTTCATTTGTCAATAATTCCCTAAAATACTCTTTTTAATCTTACATTAATTTTTATTAACAGCATTCATTCAACTTATTCAACATGAAATTAAAAAAAAAATGCACTGTTTAAGAAACTCAAATGACGACCTTAAATTTCCTTTTGAGATTAAAAAAAAGAAATCTTTTAATTTGGTTAATAGCATTAATTCAAATTAAATTGAAAAACGGATGTTGTAAAGGAGTTCAAAGAATGGCCTTAAATAACCATATATAGAAATATAAAAAAATAATAATAATTTGATCAATAGTCTTAATTCAATTATCTTAAGCTTTTTTACAATCATGAAACCCACGTTCTAATTGTCAAATAACAATTCCTCTTTGATGGAATGGTGATTAATCCAACTACTAATGTTTATGAGCTTCTTAAATTCTTTGTTTGTATTAATTTTATGTATCCTCTCGATTTTTGTGTTCTAATATTTACACGTATACATTCTTTACTTTCTAAAATTGATTTGCCATATTTATATTCAAATAGATCAGATAAGAATTTTGTTACATCAAAGTAAGAATTCTTTTTTCTTCAAGTCTTTATACATTTTGATTTGTAATTTAACTCTATATTGTAGATTTTTATCATTATTCATGAATATTATTAACCTCATTTTTTCGAGGGGTGAGGTGGCCAACAAATTTTAAGGCATTTCACATCCAAGCAAGCGTGCTTCTAAACATTAGAACAAATTATTAGCCATATGTGGCCTACTCCGACGGTATGGGAAGTGACCGCATGCGCTTCGATGGTCAAATCCGTTGAAGAAATAAGTATTTGAATGTAGGACATGCTTTAGACGAGAGCC